TTCTTGTGAATTTGGTCTTAAATTTTATTTCAAGTGGCATTAAAAAGTCTTAAAAAGTCTTGAATTTAACTTGCCTTATGCTGTAGGAACCCTGTGTTAATATATAGTAGAAATTTTACACATTCATTGATAGAATGTCACTGGGGATGTTATATCATTTAAGAAGCAGGATTTCATCCCCCCTCCACTCCAGCACTGGTTATCGACCTGGACAGCGATGTATTCTGAAAACATTTCTGTTGTTTGACTGTTTGTTGTTTTTCTCTTGCAGGACGAGCCGGATGTTGTTCCTCAGACGGACCTGGTTCCGACTCTGGCCCTGCTGTTGGGAATACCGATCCCGTTCAGCAGCGTGGGGCAGGTCCTGCTGCCTTTGTTTGCGCCGCATCAGCAGACAGAAGCCGCAGACGGACGCCTCAGCCAGCTGGAGGCGCTGTGGATCAACACCAAACAGGTCGGTGGTTAATTCACAGACTCGGTGTTTTCTGGACGAGCGTTAGAACCCTTGAAGCATGTGGTGATTTCTTTCCCCGTTGTTCCTGAAGGTGAACCGCTTCCTGGAGACCTACTCCGGTTTGGCCAAAGACATCGACCCACAGAGCCTCTCTGAGCTGAAGGCTCAGTTCGCCCGCCTCTCCTCAGAGTACCTCAGCGCGCTCAGGGAGGGGCGGGCGCCCTCGCAGCGCCTGGCCTCCTCCATGCAGGATTACCTCACCGCCGTCAGGGACACCTGTCGAGCAACGTGGGCCCGATTCAACCCGGCGAAGATGGCGGGCGGTTTGGCCGTGTTGACGTTCGCCTGCGTGGCGTGTTTGGTGACGTCAGAGCTGTCCGTGGTGCTGACGGAGGAGAAACGCGCAGCGCTGAAGGCCCCGGCTACCGTGGCCATAGCTGTCGGAGTCGGTGTCGCCGCCGCTCAGCTGCTGACCCGGGGTTACGCGGAGGCGGCGTGGAGCCTGGCGGCGGGTGCCATCAGCTCGGAGGTGATCTTCCTATGGAGGGCCTGGCGGCTGAAGCGCTCCGCCGTTTTAAAGAACGGAGCCAAAGCTTCGAAGCTCTCCAGGTGGCTCATCCCGCGCCGCCTCCTGCTGCCGTGGCTCGCCGTGGCGCTCCTCCGCTGTGCCTCCCTGCTCTCTGACAGCTATGTGATCCACGAAGGCCGGGTCGTGACCTTCCTCCTGCTCTCTCTGGCGCTCTGCGTTCCCATCCACCTCAACTGGAACGGCCATCTTCTGCCTCCGACGCCCGATCCTCTGAAGTCTGCGGGGCTGCTGCCTTCACCCACTTTAACTCCAGCAGCCATCAGGAAGGAAAGCGGCACCCTGCTGGGCTGCCTGGGTCTTCTGGTCCTCTGCTCCTACCTGTCGCTATGGTTTCACGGCTGCAGAGAGGAGCAGGGCCTCTGCCAGCCGTCGCCGTTTCTCTCCCCGCTCTCGCGGCTGCAGGACAACCAGCTGAAGAACATCTACTACATTTTATCTGTCGCCTCTCTGGCTGTTTGTGCGTACCTCCTGAGACTCTGCCTGTGTCACTACGGCAACCTCAACTCCTCTGGGGGTTCCGCTTTCGCCGCTCGGTGGATTCTGCCGCTGCTTTGTGTTTGCACAGGGCTCCACTGGGCCGTCGGAGCCACGGCGGAGGACGCTTTCCGGCAGCTGGCGGAGCTGATCCGCACGGCACAGCTGGCCCTGCCCAGAGCCGCCTTCTGCCTGCTGGGGGCGGCGCTGTCCCTGGTCTGGGCGGACCCGCTCACTGTGTTCATGAAGACCCGGAACGCAGCTTCATCCAGAAGCTCCGCCCTCCCTCCTCCCCGCTACCGGGCGAGCACCGGCATCAGCCCGCAGGCCGAGCTGCACCACCTGATCCCACAGATCTACCAGCGCATGCGTCGCTCCCTGGAGGACGGGGAGCTCAGCGGAGGCGGCGAGGACGACAACAGGCCCGCGGTGGAGGCCTACGGACTGGGAACGGTGTACTCCGCTCCGCTGCTGCTGTTCTGCGGCCTGCTGGGAGTCGGGCTGCTGCTGCTGCACCCGGAGGGGATGAGTCTGGCCTTTCTGCTGCTGCTGCTAGAAATGGGAGCTCTGCTCCACATCCACGCCTCCTCCACCACCCTCAGCGGCTCCCCTGGAGCTAACCCGGGTAAGAAATCCCTCCTCTGCTGATCCTCCGGCGTTAAAACCAGGATGCTGCTTCTCATCGTTTCTCCACGTTTCCCCCTAAGGTGCTTTTAACGTCCCGTGGACGCCTGTGGTGTTGTGGTCGCTGGCAGCTTCACAGTTCTTCCACGCCACCGGTCACCTGCCCACCTTCCCTTCCATCCAGTGGGGGGCGGCCTTTGTGGGATTCCCAGACGGACACGTGGGCACCGTGCTGCCGGCCTCCCTGGTTACCCTCAACACCTTCGCCTCACACATTTTATTTGCTGGTGAGTAAATGAACATTTTACTAAAATAAACTTTTTTGTTTTCAGGGCTTTATGTCATTAATAGTAATAATAATCAATTTCATTTTTTTTTTTTACCCAAGTATTATGTGAGAAAAATCCTAGTGAAGTTTCTGGTTTCCCAAACCTTCTAGATCTTCACCTCCTCAGACAAGACATGTTTTTCTATGTAGACATTTCTATAGCGAGACATTAAAGAGCTGAACATGAGAAGAAAAGGAAAAGTAAACTGCTGTGGCATAAAGCCAATACAAATAATAATAAATATACATTAAGAATACAAGATATAAGGTAATTATATAAAAATATACAATGAAAGGAAAGTTAAACTACTAATGTTTAAATGGCTCTGTTAAAGGCTGCTCTGAAAATAAGTTTTTAATCAGGATTTGAAGCAACTTCAGCTCTTTGACCGTTTTCTGGGTGTTTATTCCAGATTAGTGGAGAATAGGAAGATCTGCTTTTTCATGTTTGGTTCTGGTTCTGCTGAGTAGATTAGATCCAGTAGACCTCAGAGGTCTGGCTGTATTAAATGTTGGTCTTAAGCCATTCAGAGTGCTGGTGAAGATTCTCAGTCATCCAGGTCGTAGTCATTCCAAACAAGTTAAAAACAATCCACTGGACTTTGTTTCCAAGTTTGAAGATGTTTCGCTTCTCATCCAGGAACCTTTTTCAATTCAAGATGTCAGCAATAGCGTTGAGTTTGAGGCTTTATAAAATGGACCAATCAGAGATATAGACAGGTATGGGGCATTGCAAGCTAACAAAAGAAACCAGACGACTCCCATTCCAAAGGGGCGGAGCTGTTCGTCCGCTTCAATTTGCATGTTTTCTAAGCCCAAGCAAGGCTTTGTTTTGGTCCACTCTATAAAGCCTGGAACTCAACGCTATTTCTGACATTTTGAATTAAAAAAAGCTTCCTGGTTTGGAAGCGAAACGTCTTCAAACTTGGAAACAAAGTCCAGTAGATTGTTTTTTTACTTTTTGGAATGAGATATGTGATTTTTATAGAAGAGGATTAGGGCCACAAAAAAAAAAAAAAAAGATAACTGATTTTTAAATTTTATTTCAGTTTAACATGGGGAAAAAAAGTCAGAATTCTGACTTTAATCTCAGAATTTTGGATCTCAATGTAGATGGGCACCAGGAAGGAAGAGATGTGGGAGCACTCAGCTTCACTGACAAAGATGTGAGTTGTTTGAGGTGGCCAGTGACACATTGGTGGAAAATGACGGAATTAGGCAACTTTTTACGTGCCCGAGGGGTCCCCTCATTAATGGAGGAGCAGAAGAGAGCTAGTCTCTAAAACAGACATGGCTATGGCTGGATGCTAACATGTTTGTTTTTAAACATACTTTTGTTATATTACATTTGTGTTGTGTTTTCCAAATAATGTAGAAAATGGATGGTGGGTTTATAATGTTTACCTTTTATGAGCAGGACAGG